CGGAGAACGTTGGTACTCGGAAAGTACTCGACTACAACACTGCTATATAGGGAGCACAAAATGTTTGTCCAAGCTGCAAGCAACGAGTAGAATGAGACGCCTGCTATGTAGTGTCATGCTTTCAAAAATAATTGTAAAAATGTTAGATCAAACTGCGTATCATTTCTCCATTGAAGAGTGCGTGCCATGCTAACATTGACTCAGAAGAAATAGGGTGACCCATTGCATCTGGGACCTACAACTATACTGGTTCGATCATTTTTCGTCATTACAATAAGTTTGTTTTGAATTAAGAGCAAAACTTCCTCGAAGCTACAACTGTTCCAAGTGATACTAGCACAACGAGAGCTTGTCAGATTCCAGATAAAACTTTCTGCCTTGCCTCCTGTAAACGACATCACCCTTTGATCATAATTATGAAGATTTCAGTTAAATTGATCGATGTCTGGCTCAAACACCCATACACTGCCATTATGGTCCTTTTTAATTAAGGAGGTTTTGTTTACTCTTATTCAATTGTTCCCAGGTTGAGATTTTGAAGAGTGCGGTGTACTACTACTTATCTGACATCCAGCCCGAGGTTAACCTCAATGTCATGTTGTCGATGCTTAACTACAGTGATGTTCAAAAGAGAAACATCATTAGTCACTTGAAGAAGAAACTAAAATAAGTCACTTGCTTCGGATTTAAGTGAAGGGAATTTCAAAATTTTACCACTGTACTGATTAAGAGCTAGTTACACAGACTTAAAAATCTACAAGTAGGATAGGCCTACATCAAAATAGAAATAAAGTGGTTTTGACGTGAAGATGCCATAAAGCATTCCACTGAACACGCTGTAAACTTGTAGTGAGTACGGATTCATACTAGAACATTAACACGGAATATTGAGAGGTAACACAGGTAAGCTATAGGTCGAATTTAAACTCCCTCAATATACCGTGTTAAATGGTTCTAAATTTCTCACCGGACCGTGCACGTTTTTCTTTATACAAAGGCCAGTAGTTATTTTATGTGCTCAGTTTGGCTTCAAGTACATGTACTTACGTTTCGCTCCTTTTGGGGAACTTCGGTTTTGTGAAACCTCCAAGTAGCTTAAGCATACGTCTATATAATTAATAAACAAACAGTCCATTAATACTTTCTGCAAAATTGAAAATGCAGACAAAGGCCAGAGTACTTGTAGTTTCCATATAGTGCTAGGATTAGGGTGAATGAAGTCTCTACCATTTCGTCATGCAGGTTTTGCTACTATGTTCATAGTTTGACACACGTTCGGGTAAACGCACGCTCACATTATAATGGATGTAAAACAAGCCGTGAACTTTGGAACATACCATGGCCAGTGGCATCCATCAGACCTCAGCAGGTGCATATAGTACTGTTTTCACCTTTGATTCAGTGGCTAACAGTGCGTTCAAATCTATATTCTGTGACTGAAAGCAGTAAAAACATTCCGTGAGCTGCACTCATCAAGCCGTTCGACTTGTAAAACGGACAGACTAGTCTAAGATTAGTGAGCTGTGTATTCCTTTCTGTAGACATTTTGTGTTTGCTTTTGTCACAGATTGCTACGAAGGTAAAGTAATTTCAAGGGCGGAAGAAAAACCTTTTATGATGACTTTTTAACAATTTTATCTAGGTGCTTAGATGTAGGGTTTGAATAGCGCCCGAAAACGGCTCTGTGAATTTATTCACCAATCAGTCATGACCGTGCATATATATATATCCTATACCCCATCTTGAGAGTTTCACCTCCTTAGCTTCACAGACGGAAAGGTAGGTCGACGCTTGTTGAAAATAATACCAGATTAAAATTAAAGCTTAATCACCATAAAGCACGATAAATTTCAGAAGTTTGTTTCTATTACCGGTATCTTAAACGTTTGGACGTTCTACGGTGCTTTTCATGCGCGTACAATGCCGTATCAAATATTTAGGAACAAACGTGGGCGTGGAAGATATCAGAGAGGGGGCATCAAGCGCATTTCGAGGGAAACCCCAAAAATACCGTACGAGCCAGTCGTGTACATTCCACCATTTAGAGGGAACGTATCTGTCATTTAAATTATCGAGTACAGTCAACTGAAAAAAGGGGGACAAGTAACCCTTTACTGATTCCACTGGGTCCACTATACTGATTAACAAGGACTGAAGGAATGAGAGAATGAAGGACATGATGGATTGCGTATCCGTATCGTGTTGATTCTTTTTTTCAATCTTTTACCCCACTTTTACTAATTATTACACTCTGATCCATTGTATGGCAAATTTTCAAGTGAAGAACTGAATAGGCTTACAGGTGTTTAGTAATGGAATTGGGGTTCGTTATATTCTATATAGCATACATTTAGACGGAAAAAGTCATTTTAATTTCAACTGTATTGCATTGAAATTATAATTGGTTCATGCAAAGACGATTTTATGCACAGCTGTCGCGCGTGCATTATTGATCATGAATATTACTTCATTGTAAAACTAGAAAAGAGAAGCAAACTACATCATCTAGCTGAGAAAGTACGTATTTTGCTGCACTGGAAGAGGTTAAATTTTAGATTTTTAAGAAACGTCTTCCTTCAACAGTAATCAGCTTAATTTATCGTGCTTCATTTTTGTGTAGAACAATCACCACAGTTCAGACCGAGTATGAAGACTCCATGCTTGCAGCTGTTACATGCGAATGTGTAATAGGCCTATACCTTTTCCATTAATACGTTGTTACTATAAAACCCCCACAATTAATAAGGCCACGCAGTGAGTAGCTTTTACCTAGTGCCCGACACCCGACTAAATCCCCGTCATCAGATCTATGGATTGTCGACCACGTGACATGAATTATTTGTCTCAACCTGGCGCACTGTGGCGCAATTCGCCCGCAAAAATAACGTCGGTGCTCAGTTGCATTAATATTATTCTGCAAGTAGCTTACAGAAGCATCGAAAATATGCTTTTACTGTCTTGAAACCAAGACTAATTCGTCCTTCTGATTGCGTGAGTTGAGCCCAGAAATATTGTTTGGGGTTCCCTCGCACTTCTTAATTAATCTAATTAACTGTGAGCCCCCATTCTCTTTACGCCGGACGTACGTATCAAGTTAAGGGCGTATAAGCACTGATTTAAAGGAAGGTTACAGCATTGATTTTTTGTCGTAATTTCACAAGATTGGCTGATTAAAAATAAGGAATATCATATTAACCGCAGTTCTCATTCCATTGTCTTACTTATTTCGTGTTTGAGTTAACTTCTTTGAGAAAAATCCAGAAAAACACGGCGGCCTTTTCAACAGTCAAATCGAAAATATTGTAATTGTGCAAATTTCATGAGCTACAGGGCGTTGTGAGTGGGCGAACACGCATATACGCGGGTCCATCTGCTGATGGACAAGCATGGCAGGTGCTTTAACCCATTAAAAAGAGCGTTTTTCACCGCGAAGAATAATCAGTACATTTACCTTTAGTATTTTGCCTCTTCGGCAATGTAAACCGTGGATTTCATTGAAATAAAACTATCGTGAAGTTACTGCTGTCGACTCCGCGACGTCACATAATCCTATGCGAGTAATCGTCACACGTAGCCCCACACGTCATTTAGCCTCACAGGTGTAAATGGCTCTCTTTTGACAGTTTGTCTTATGCTGTCGACATCACAACGTTACTTCAGTACAGGACGTGCCTAAAATCCTAACTGCAGATTTGTCACAAACTTTAAATCCTAATATCTTCCGAAAAACGAACGACCACACATTTTTACTCACACTGGTATATCCTTCAGAGTTTGGACTTTCATACTATTACCCTTAAGGTCACCGAAATCCTACATCTCCCATGTACTTGCGTCTTGAAAAACCCGACCTGTGATGTAGGTAGGCGAGCAGAGGATGTCGCCATTTTAAAATAATGCCCAGATGTCTCCTGACGATGGTGGCGAACCCTTTGCAGGGAGGATCAAATCCCATTCTTGCGTTGAATGTCAAGCAATGTGTCGGCAAAGTGTGGGATAATGGCACTTCATCTGAACCAGTGTGGACATATATGCACAGCATTCAAACCTGTGCAAGCTTCGAACTTTGACGAACTTGATCCCCTTTGGACTTTGAAAGCACATTATATTCAGCTACGAGACTGTAATAGGGGCACGGTGAAACAAACAAAAATCTCTCCTCCACGTAGGAGATGCAAGTGCAGACCAGCAACCTAGCCGTGCTCCTTCCTGAGGTCAGGCATTACCACACAATAGATTAAAAGGTATTTAAATAAGTCTTCAGTTCATTTCAAATTTTAATCTATTATGTGGTAATGCCTGACCTTAGGAAGGAGTACAGCATGTCGGCAGGTCTGCAAGTGATACGCAGGACATAAAAGTGCGACATAGAACTCGAACGAGTTCGCTCGAGGAGGAGAGAGTCATTCACCCTACATGTCCCTAATACAGCTTCGTATGCAGCAGAGTAACAAGTGACAAATGTTAAACGAGTAGTATAGGTGCGTGTACATCTCAACGCTATAGTAACTCAGCGGTCTGCAAGACGAATGGTCTAGAATTATGTCACCACCTTTTTTTCTGGAGAACCACTCGAAGACTTATTTTCATAGGTATTATTCATAGGTCTGACTGAAATTTAAAAGTATCGAAACAAAACAATATTTGTTACTGTTAAAGACTTTTTAAATAAAGAGTGTCTTCCCACACTCCACGACTGTTCTGTTCCAATAGATTTTTTCTCAGGCTTAAAAAGGTAACTTATCACTACTTTACTAAAGAATACGCGGAATAGGGCAGACGGGGTGCCTGCCATTGACGGCCAATCAACATGACATTTCCACTTGATTAGGAAAGTTGGGTCCGGTTTCGCCAGTATACTGATTTTTATCTTCTTATAAACCTCGTGCACCATCGAAAACTTTTAAATCCTAGCTAAACCCCGTATTCCCTTTGATGGTACTATAATTTTACAATAGCATTCACAGTGCACGAGTCTTTGTTTAATAACCAACCGAGAGACGCTTAAAGGGGAGTCATTAGAAAAGATCTTAATCGTGTCATTCTGTAAAGACAGACAGTACTGCGCAAGGCCTGAAAGCCGGGCAAGGCACATTACGAACAGGGCGGGTATTGCAGTCCTATATCATGTTGGTGCTGGCCTAGACTTGGATGCGGCATTTTATCATGATCAGTTTGACTGTGGCGCATATGTCACCGATTCTATATTTCTGAAGATTTGTAATATATTTATAAATTAACAATGCCCTTATCCCATTGGTTCATACGGTATAGAGAACAGATGATCAGGACAAGATTTCTAGAAAGAACTTAGGCTTTACTCTGCAACACAGGGGCGTGTCCAGTTTTTGGTGGGAGGGGGTACAAATTCAAAGGCAAACGCGGCTGGGGAGAAAAGATATCAAAAGCCTTACTCACAGTCCCGACATCTTTGCTTTTATTTATTGGCGTTGCTTTCTGGCGCTGAAATTTGATAAATGTATATACCCATTACTTTCTTTCCTACTCACCTAAGAAGTATTCTTAGTAAAACAAAAAACAAAAAGTCCGTCAGGGGGAAGAAAAGAAATTTGAACACACATACACTTGTTAACCGAGCTACGGAGACTACACACGTGTTGAAAATGCACAGTAACAACAAAAGGGTCTACGAGGTGATAGGAAAAATCACGTGAAACGTAACTCCATAAGAAATTGTTGACTAGAGGGTATCAAGAGTACCCCTTAACCGATGGAAGCAGACGTCAATCCGCCCCGAGCATGAAGTGCACCCTAAGCGGCAAAAGAAAGACAGACGGTTGTCAGTTTTCCCCAGTTGGTTCTTGCACACGTTCTACGTGTAAACAAAGACCATACATTAACCCCAACCCCCTAGGGTGTATATAAAATCATATTGAAATCGGAGGATTTTATAGGGTTATGGAATAAATTCGTTACGCCTAGGGGCCTCAGCGTGCTTCTCGTCAAACGCGCCATTGATCTCAGTTATAAACGCCCGCCTATGCGGTGAGTACCAAAAAATACGCTCTCGTTTATTCCGCCCAGAGCGGATATGCTCATGCAAAAATAAATGGAACGTCCTGGTAAGATCTAATCTTTGATATACATTTGACCAAAATTTTGTTTTTTAAAACCTAAGCTTTTCTGTGAATACAAATGACTCCTACCGTGTGCCACATTGTTATTTCGAAATGGATTGGAGTACGCAATTAATCATGGTTTATGATAAATGAATGTAATAAAAGTCATTTTTACGCAGAACTTTTTTACTGTCTTCGGTTTCGTTTTTGGAGAATGACTTGCATAACGGTTTTGAAGCTTTTGACTGTGTTGCTTCACTGCAGATAAGCCATACCTATCTAATAGACCTATGTTACTGTTTCCATTTCATTTTATTTTTACCATCATGTTACACTCATCTGGGATCGAAACAACAAGACTGTTAGGCACAATCAAATCATTTCAGTTCACTTCTGAATTTTGAAAAAGCTGTTCTTTTTTGTCCTTCTCAGTCTCGCATACATGTAGGTCAGAGCTCATGCATCAGCTGATCAACATTCATCCCTGCGCAAAGGTGAAAAGCACGTCAATACAAATCAGTAAGATCTAATCTCATAATGTACGTCATCGGAAATAGTGTGTTGAACGTACCACTTGACCGATGGCAACTGACGTACAATCACAAACATAGATCGTCCCAATGTGAGGTATGAAACAGGCTTTGTTAAATTTTAAAAGAATTTACATGGTTCAACCCAACTGTTCAGCGTTGGCTCCACGCCACTACATACAGACCTCTTCTTTCATGTACGAAGTCCATTTTTATTCAATAGCCAGTGATATCAGTCGTGGGCTTACCCTGAGTCAAATGTGTCTCTTGATGCCCAGGAGAAATAAATCGAATTTAGAAAAGAAATGGCGGAAAATAGACAGGAAGGACTTCAGGAGTGTTGTGCAGATATCGAGGAAAGAAAGCTCTCAAATCGCGAGCGAGCTCAGCGCCGATGGGTGACTGTAGAACCCGTGATTGCACTGGCCGTGGTCGGCTCTAATTCCATGGGTCTCGTTCGGCCTTTCTACTTGAAGAGCCGGCTTGGCGAACTGATGTATAACATGTCCACTCTTGAGGAATTCTCGGGATGCGACATCAACGACACAGAATACAAAGCAAGAGAGGACGACATCCAGTCTCAGGCTTCCCTTTGGTTGCTGTACTTGAGCATGTCTGGAAGTGTACCTATGCTAATAGCGTCGATTCTTTTGGGCACTTTAAGTGACAAGTTAGGCAGGAAAATGTGTATTGCAATCCCACTATTTGGCTACATTTTCCAGGAGGCAGTCTATATAGCAACCATTTACGGGGAACTGCCTCTCGCAGTACTCTTTGTCGGGGAGGTTTTACTGGGGTCGACAGGTAGCTTTGGGATACTGTTCGCTGGTTGCATCTCCTACATTGTCGACATTACGACAGAGAACAAACGAACTCTACGGATTGCGCTGGCTGAGATGATTTTCTTACTGTTAAGTGGCTTCGTCCAAGTAGGTGTCGGATACTTGGTACGTGATGTTGGCACTCTCCCTCCATTGCTAATAGCTTTTGGGTGCAATATCCTCTGCCTAATCTATATTGCCGTCCCAGGCATTCTGATTGAGACTGTAGACCGTGACAACATCCCCGACCATCGCATAGGGCTCAGAGAAGCTGGCAGGAGTATGGTGAAGCTTCTCAAGTTCAATGAGAACGGCCGCCGATGGCAGATGCTTCTCCTAGACTTCTTCCTATTTGTTATCACCATTAACATCAACGGCACCATCTCCATCTTCATCTTGTATGGCTCAGCAGCGCCTTTCTGTTGGGATGCTCTCAGCGCTGGCTTGGCTGGGGCGTTCGGATTTCTCATCGCGTCTGCCGGTGAGTTGTTATTGCCTGGACAAATAAGCACCCTATGGTAATTTTTACTCAGGTTTCACCCACTTTAACACTTGGAAATCAACTCAAGTGCCGCCCAATACCTCATCCATTAAAAAGTTCATGTTAAAATCAGATCCATTTTTCCATAGGAATGGTTGCTGGATCGAAGTTATTTGCTATCTGCTTGGGGGAATACTGGATTATGCAAATCAGTTGTCTGAGCCTTCTCGCCTTCAATATTGTAATGAGTGTGTCTCGGACAACCTGGCTGATCTACGCTGGTAAGTAATTGACCTTCACGGAGCCTGACGACCAAGTGGACAATTTTCGGTTTTGACCAAAAAATCGTGGAATCAATATTAGTAGTTAGGGGGGCAGTCTGGTAAAGGTTGACCTTGGGCAGTCTGGCACAATTTTACCTTTGCCACAAAAAAGCAAAAGGTCACATCAATCGGCATAAACATAATAATTATGATCATAAAGATATGAATAGGAATGAGGGGCAGGGTAAAATGTGTGGCACAAGATGACCTAGGGATGAATAGCAATAGCATAGGGTCGGGAAGTGTACTGTGGTACAAATTGACCTTGTGTATGGGATAAAAGATGAATCAGGCATATCATGAGGTAAAAATGTCGGCACAATTTGACCTTTCTTATAAAATAAGATGATAAAAATTAGTTGATGGGTCATATTGGCGTGATGTCATGGAAAAATACTGACTGGCCCACCAGGAGATCCTAAGGTAATCAAGGAGTAGGAAGCAAAAATCCCCAAACAAAAGGCCGTACGTGCCGTCGTGTAATGAGAGGGGTACTCCCTAGACATCGGACTGTACGTAGAGGGTGGGCTCTGTCGGCGGGCAGACTGTTGTGTTAATGATCATATTGTGTACGTTGGAAGTGAGCGTTGGTCTGACTTAATCCTTGGACACTAAAGGAGAGAGGGCGCCCAGAAATACCAACGGTCTTGCGTTCGGCTTACTAAATCCAAGCTTCAATTTATATAACGATTTATTTAATATTTGTTTATTTATACTGAAATTTGATGTGTTGCAGCGAATCTTATGGGTGCTTTCCGAGCGACAGCAATGCCAGTGGCACGATCAATCCTGTCCAAAATAGTTGATCCAACAGAAATCGGTGAGTAATGATTGCAGGAGAGCGTTTGGTTATAGTGATGGTGGTGTTGATGGGATGGGTAACGGTTAACTTGCCCACTGAGTAGATTCTTAAGAGATTTATTCTTTGAACTGTAGCCTTTTAGGGTCCTATTTAATTCTACGATCATTTGTGTACATAACCCGTATAGGATGGTTTGGGGACTTTAAGTTACAGTGGAATGGAAATATTTATGCTCATCGGTGAACTACGATGCCATCTTAGACACAAAGTGTTTCATTACAGGTACCGTTGTCGAGATTAATACAGACACGTAATAGATTTGGTTTCGATAATTTTGTAGGGCTAAAAGGGGAAATTCGGATCCGAAGTAGTAACTTTGGATATGTTTTGTTTGTGCATAGTAATGTGTGATAACTTTTTATTTGCTTATACTTTACTGATATTTCGTCGCCGTGAAGATTCAGAAGCGAATGCGCCTCCCCCAAATTTTTAGGTACTTATTGTTAACATGCAATAAATTCAAGAGTTCGGTATAACTTCAGATCTTCAGATAATGCCTGCTCTTCTAAAGTAAGATCACATTTGAAGAACCCTTAAAAATAACTTGTTGCGCAACAAGAAGTCATGAAAACTCTTTCACAGAACTGGTATCTTCAATTGTTATACGATTGGTGAAGGCCTTTTCATAAAATAAGTATTATGTAAATGTATCATTAAAACCTTGACGTGCCCCAGCGGATGCCCGTGGCCCTCACCCCCGTTGCACCCCATCTAAAATCTGTGAATAATCTGCGTTTAGCCTTATTATAGCTAAGCAGCATATTTTCTCGTGACGCAGTCTTGAAAAACAGGTGCACTTCCGGGTGCCCCCAGACATTTAGCCCTAGTTACGGAACTGCGGACGGTGCTCTAGACCCGTTTTGCCTCCAAGTTGAAATAGATGTTTTGACCATCTCTTTTATGACAGGCACAGCTTTTGCTCTGGTAGCATGCGTCGATGGTTTGGCGGTTTTTGTGGCAAGTGCGGTGGCACCAAGCATCTACGCGGCTTCCGTCCTTTACCTACCACCCTTAATCTTTTACGTCTTTTCTGGCTTGACTGTCCTCCCTATTGGAACGATAATGTAAGCATAATTTTGGTTCTGTTGCTTGTTTTAGCTCTTTCGCGCCAATCAACGCTCAAACAACTACGCTCAGGTGGTAATCCTAAACCGGACAACAGTAACATACAGGTTCGAATTTAAAAAGCGGCGGGTACAACATGACTCTATATAGAGGTCGATATTCATGCTATTATGTATTCCAGATAGCATGACTATGGATATTTAAATTGTTTTCCTTTTTGAGGGATACTGATTGCAATTTAGTTGTTAGGAGACTGAAAAATTCTTTACAATCCATGCACTTTACTGTTTTGTTCACCATAAAATATGGAGGATGATTCAAAAGCCCACCCCACCAAAAAAAAATTGAGGGGAACATAAATCCCAATCCCCCTGGGATTTACGCCGATGTTTCTGGTCCACATGTGCACTCTCTGGTGGAAAGTTTTGGCTGACCTCGCTTTACAACGTGAAATAATACTGTCGGAAGCTATTAAGAGACAACACTAAATGAACGAAGGACAATGCCGTCACAACGCCGAACAAAGGACAGCTCAGTGCCAAAAGAACAGAGAGCGCTATTCCTGACCCATCAGCAGAGGTAAAGTCTGGTGTCCGTGGCCATGTAGCACGCGTTATCAATGGAAGACAAAATCAACCTATCAAACTGCGTTTTCCCTTTCATGATTGTGTACTCTATACATATAATTCCATGTAGTACATTGTAACTCTATAGTTCAAGGTGCAACTTAGCACGACAACCTTGTTCGGGCATTGCTGTTTCAGCCGACGATTTGGAAATCTGTTGAACACGTCCAACTCAGTTACAAGGTTAAATGTTTCAGCCTAAATAAGTTTTCTCAGCATTTACCATGAGTCGAATGTTTTGGGCGGTTGATTGTTGCAACACCAAACTTTTCCTTCATCCCATCCGTCTCCCTAATGTATGTAAATAATGCACAGTGTGACTTCATATTGATCGATGAAGGTCTTTTCTTTGAGCATTGAGATCAAATCCTTATTTAGATCTGAACGGACGAAGGAGCAACCTAATGGCTGCATTCATTTCAAGACAGTATGATAGGGATCAATAAGCCGTTTGCAAGTTAAATTTGAATAAAATCTGGTACACCGAGTTCTTTAAATTAACGTGGACATAACAACTTGAATTCTCCACACTAAAGCCACTGTTGCTATACCTCGCATATGCAGCAAGGTATGAGACGGAGAGAACCCCCCCCCCCCGTGTTGGTCATTGTCCCGCAGGAATCTGGGGAATTCCTTTCAGACATCTTGGGGGATGNCAAGCAACAGTGTCTTTAGTCTGGGGAATTCAAATTGTTTCGTTTCTATGCAATCAGATAACACAGTGTGCCAGATTTTATTCAAATTGAACTCGAAAGTGGCCTACTATGCTTTTTCGACAGAACATACCCAAATGAGTGGGGCATTCAAACAGTCTTATCATATGCAGAGTGAAAACAAATCACCGTTCAGAATATTTCGTTCTGAAATTTATACCCGTGTGATTTTTTTCCACTGGAAGGGAATCGACAGTTCAATAAATCCGATTTTCCGATAAACCTGATCGTTGCTTTTTGCGCTGAATCCACCACAAACAGTGATTCTGCATCCATTGGTCCATTTTCAGCACAGAGTAACCTGGGCGGCTTTTGCTGGTTCTGGATGGGGTTGTCAACGAATGCTTTAACACATGCTCGATGATTTATTCCGGTCTTAGAAACAGTTTCCGTATGGTCTTGCTGTTCTTCGCGATATTCTTATTTAATTAATTCCATACATATCCATAAAATTCGCATAATTTATATTGTTCCTCTTAGCACAGACAGTTAACAAAATACACTACTAGTATACTGGGTATCTATGGACATGTACAGGCCTGGTCTTCACGACAGTCTACTAAGTCAGTCTGAACATAATGGCCTGAGCACAGAGGGTACACCCCGGCCCACCAAATAAATTTCCATAGGCGTCAGTGGGGACTGGTCATGTGATGGTCTTGACTACAACAATGACATGTCACGTACATGCATGTCCTTCATTCGTTCGGAGTTGTCATGGGACCCGCAACTGTATCCATCCTTTCGCTTACGGACAAACCATTGTTTCAATACTATATTCGGCTGATTTTCATCAGACGCTATTGTCTAATGGAACTCAGGTTTATTCTATTATGAAATTCACGGCGAAGTGGTAAGGATATTGTATAAAAGTGTTAAAAAAATACTTCAAACTTGTAAAAATGTTCAATTTTATTTTCTTGTCTGATGCAGAATACTACAGATATTTTGGCCTCGATCAAAGAAGTACCAGTCATTTTACGGGGAGAAATCTAAAGACAGCAGTGGACACGAAGCAGACCAGAAACCTGAAGAGAGTAGGGACGAACCTTCAACGGCTTAAAATTAAAAAGTCCAGAATTGTTCACCCATATTGTGAAACGGTTTAATGAATGTGTAAAGTGTAACATATCTCTCTCTCTCTCTCTCTCTCTCTCTCTCTCTCTCTCTCTCTCTGTAGGGAGCCGTTATAAAAAATAATGATAGAGAGTCATTTATTAATCTACAACCACATAATTATTTACATCGTCCAAATTTATAATGATCAACTTATGTTACTACTGAGACTAAATACTACTGTGTGGGACATTCATCATGGAATAATAATCAAGGCACAGCTCATCAAAATCTGATCTGTTCACTCGGGAATGACAAATGGGGTTGCCCACCTGGGAATGATGGAGTAGAACTGCTCCTTTTGTAGATTTTCGGGGCCACACCTAAGCCAATGAGAGCACTGGATTGGGACACGTCGTAATAAATAATTCATAAAAATTAATGTACAAAGCCTCTGGATGAACACTCTATTGGGATTTTGTGTACATGTAGTCTCGCTGACTGTTTCTAGACAGCAATAAAGGCCGAGAAGCGCATTTTTTTTCCTGGGAGGGTTAGGGTTATTTGTAGTGAAGTTCTCCATCTTGCACCGTGATCTTTGGTGTAAATCTCAGCGACAAACAGAACTGAGGAGCTAATGTGCTGAGGTGAAGAAAACATATTTTGAGCAGAAAGAACGATGAGGGTAACAATAACACTCAATGCCGACCCGAGGAGCTCGGTCGTCTAAGTATTAAGTATCTGTATAGAACGATTTCCACTATGACCAATCCGTAAGAAATATCGGATTTGCAGAAAGTCTTGTCATTGGCCAGAATGATGGTAGAAACTAGAAGCTGGAGGACCTCAAAGCCAATTAAAGAGAATGAAAGACAATCATGCCTCCTGGCAAGTATTGAAGCCATTCTATAAATATTAATCACGATTTCCATCGTGAAGCTATAAATCATTAATCACTATTCCTTATTCACAGCCCGATCTTCATGTTTGTTCACACATCTTTGAAAACAGGTTTTGGCGTTTGTAGTGGAGGCATTTTTAACTTGGGTGATTTTTTTTATTAGTACTTGCAGCCTGTATTAAGATAGGGGTGGCACCCCTTAGTTTACCCAGTTGGAGTTGCAGTGTGTGCCCCCCCTCG